CGCGTCCATGATCTAAAATCACGACTCCAGCAGAAACACCACGACCAAAGTGATTGTTCATTGAAAATCACCTGTTGATGTTTATACAACAGTGATTACTTTCTCATGCATGATCGAAGCTTGTAGGTTTGTTACATAAAATATCCTCTAGGAGACTAACATTTTAGATCTTGCACATTTGAGGGAGCTCATAAATTTATATATTTCTTAGACACTCTCCATATGCTGCATGTCCAACAAATTTCTAAATAACCTGTAGTTTGCCCATAAATGCCTGTTTTCTAACATATTAAAATCTTATCATTATATTACACTCCAGAATATAGCGTATGGTAAAAAAATTTGGAGCAATCTGTACGTTCCTTGACAAGTTCAGTAAAGCCACTGAAATTAGAGAGCACTCCTCATCAAGATAGAAGCTAAAAATCCAAAAATTCCATTTTCGTAAATGTAATCAGTCTGTCTTCTCTAAAAACCAGTTTCCAAGATACCGCTTTCTGTAACATAACTGTAGGGGCTACGTGTTTCAGCAATCCTTTATCAACAAATAGTGGAAAACCGAAAAACATTTAGCATTTATTATGCCAGTTAGTAAGCTGTCAGATTTTGCCTACAATCTACACCAGTAGGTGACGGTAACCGTATATTTGCTTAAAGACAGATATCCATAAGACTAAAATGTTTTATGAAGAATAACCAGCTACGTAATGAGAAAAACGAATTTATATCGACGAAAACACTGAATTACTTTGGTTACTCGAGATGAATAACCAGTATGGTCTTCATACAAAACACAGTTCAGTTAGGTAGGCAAAGCAAGGAACGTAACATGTGTGTGCGAAGAGGGAAGTGGAACTCGAATCAAGGAAAAGGAATTAATATGGCAAAGTGAAGTTCGTGAAAATGCTCAGTATGCTTGCCTAGATCGGATTCGACGAATCAAACTTAATCTGTCACCCGGCAATTCATTGCTGTAGATTCTGAAATACTAATGAGACCCCGGAAAACTAAACTAATGTCATCGGCCTGCTCGATGTCCACCAAATATCTCGCAACAGCGAGACGGCGACTTTTTAAACTTTATAAACATGTTAGGCACGTGCTCAGTTGAGATGGTCCCTGGGTGATTGCACATTTGCCGAATACGTGTGTACAGACCATGATAACGCCTTCACACCGCGACTCGGGTCTTGTAATCGCCGCATAGGAAGAATACAATATTAGTGAGATCAGCCAAGTACGGGTATCAGTAAAAAAGATCTGTTGATTTTCCACAGGCGACATGTGTTTTCATGAGTTCCTCGCTCGCATGAAGCTCTGACCGGCTAAAAAATCGCTAGCGGGTGCCTGCACACACACCTCTGAGCTTTCGCCCCTTGTAAAGAACATACCCTTTTGATAATCATAGTTTCCCCTTCCTAACAGGGCCGAGACCGACCGGATAGGGGATTATGGGCCCCCTAATACTAAATGTGGCCTCGCGCTAAATTCCAATGGGTTCCTATTCCCGTGTCCAAACTGAAACCCTAACCATATCCCGAGCACTTACCTACCCTCCTAGCTTTATCCTCAGCGCTAACCCTAACACCAAATCCAATGACCTTAACAACACACCTGACCCGAAGCTTCACACCAACTCTGGCCCATACCCTAATTCCAATCCCCCTGGAATTTAGGGTAGGACAACCTTTAATACTTGGAATCCACTTTCCCGTGTCCAATCCTGAGCTGTAGGATTGCGGTGGTTAAGTTAGCCATATTTGCATCCACAAGTAAACACGGAGCTATTAACTCATTAAAGAGTAGTGGGCATAGTCAAGGCCTGTTTAATCACTTTATACACGACGTCTTTGTGTATAGGCGAAAAGTGCAGGACGGGAATTTCAAGATTCTTTCAATGATACAATCCCCCGGTTGCCACCTACGCTGTAATTCGTAATGGGCAGGGATGTTAAAAGGAGCTTTTCAGGACCTCGCACGCTTAAATAAATCGTCCAGGAAAACAGCTCTTAATGAGGATGGATTTCTGCGATTCGTGTCCTGCACTCCGTAACTCGGTGGAGTCTAGGTTGCGTTTTGTTGGTATTGGATGTATGCGTAATTCCAAAAGTATAATTAAAGGATTTTACAAACGTCAATTCTGAAAGACGGACTATCTACTAAATCCATACTCCTAGCTGGCACGTGACCACTCTATAACGGTTGTTTATGGTTGTTTTCTCGTGCCATTGTGATTTCAGTACTTTCCCGTAAGATATTCACTATAGCTAAGATTGATGAATGCTGATAGATTTATTATACTGGCAGAATGATTATTATAAAAACACCTGGACGCGTGTTCCGCTTATTTTGCGCAGCTGCATTACGCAGATGCGAGGGACTCAGCGAATCTATATGTTTCGCTCAAATATTCAAAACACACTATGCACTAAACCTCAGAATGCTTATGCTGAAGAATTTGCTGCAAGTTCGCACATTGATTGCTCGGAAAAACAAAATTTGTACGTAGGAAGTTATGGATAATTTGTTGATTAACGATCATACCTGTACTGCTGGTGCAAAGTTTATGCTATCTCATCTGGATAAGATCTGATGATTTATTTTCCTTCAATTACCGTAGGGGTGCAAAAGGGTATTGGAATGCGTGGACACTCTACGGCAATTCTAGTAGTATACCTTTGTGACTGTTCTTCATATAAAACGATTGCACATTTTTCGATCATAAAATTAACTCAATCGTGAAGATTTAGAGACAAAAGATCAACACCAGAAGCAAACGAGTGTTTCCTTTAGAGGCCAAAGTATGGAAACCGTTTGCACTTCTTTCAGTAGGTTTTCTGTTGCAGGTTATTTTACCCGGAAGAAAAAAAGGATACGGCAGAGAAAAGGTTTAAATCTGTGAAGTCTAGATGGATAAGGCAGGCTGTCGGTTCCGATCCGTTGACTAGTTTAAGATGCATATTTGACATATATAAGAATATCTGCCAGAAGCAGGAATGGAAGTTTTTCATTCAAAGCTCTTCTACATACAATCTGGCTAAATTTTACAAAAATCATAGATTCAGTTGAATATTTTATTTCATGCCACTAGAATACAGATAGCTAAAGGTTACATGTAATATAGGATTGTAAATTTTGAGGAGTACTGCATATCTCATAATCTTTCCTTTTTTGTAAGAGTCGTAGACTTTTTCCCATGGGTCGCATGTCTCAGACCTCTCAATTGAAACGACACTAGGAAACGTAGACACTCAACCAGCAAAAACGCAGTGAAGTAAAGCTTTTTTTCCAATAATTATTCAGAGAAATGACTTAATCTAAACTGCTCGGCAAAGGTTAACTTTGAAATGTAGTTGATGAGCAGTCCTTTTGATGTGCCATTGCATTAGAAATGTCGTTTAAAAGTTTCCTGACCACAAAAAACCGATTATTCCAGACCATCCAGTCGCATTGACATCCCAGGAGAAGGAAATAATTGGATAATGAGTGTGGATACGGATGATCTTAGCGCATCCAAGACAGAGACCGAACAATTTAGACCGCCCACTCACGTCCTGACGACTTTGATTTGGAATATTCAAGTTAGATTGAAGTGACATTTACCAGTCAGCCCTCACTGCAAGGTGGCATATGAACGATTCAATTTTGTTTTGGTGCTATAGCATAAAACCACAATAGACACCTAAAAACCCATAAACACTAAATAACGCGAGTTTATCACCAAAGGAGAGAACTGCCACTGGTGACTTGTTTGCTGCTATCAGTCAGTTATGCTTCAGCCTCGGGTTCGGAAAATCTTTTACTTGAACCAGGTGGGATGTGAGCGTTTGGTTTACGCGGTAGAGAGTTCGATTTAAAAATAACAAGACGGTTTGAAACAGGGTTCTTCCCCATCCGAGATTCTGGTAAAGGTCGCTCAACGACTGCAAATAAGCCAGAGATTACAGCTTCAGTCTTTCTTACTTCTGCTAGTGGCATTTTCCCACCAGTGACTGACCGTATCCTTATGACAGACGGTGGCTGCTCTAGACTGCAGCTGCAGCTGAAAGGTTAGTCGTTCGTGTTCCACCTTAATGCAAGGAAGATATCGTAAAAATCGCTACGTTTTGCTTATGTAGTGCTCACGCTCGGAAGCCATTGCTGCTTTTCATGCACTGACTAGCAACTGGACTGGCTTCGATGTTACCCTGTTCTCTGGTGATTTACTGTTTCATAAAGTTGTATTACGTTATGATTAGAAAATAAAGCTTTAAACAAGCGGTTTGGACAACGGCCCATTTTGCATGAAACTTTGGTGTACATGGGATGCTTGTTGTCATGATTGGTTTTTACCAAACAATGACTGGAGAAATTGCAGAGCTCTTTTTGCAGAAAAAGCTGTTTATTGTACAACAAGAAAGCAAGGCTGTCAGTCTACAATAAGTCTTTTATTTTCCTAAGCGCAAGAGTCTTATTGCTCGCTTGCGGTCGGTTTTCACTCCGCTTTCCAGAAAGTCCTCCAAAATCTCACGCGTTTTCGATGGGTTCTCCTCGTAAACACGCTCGAGTACTCCTACAAGGTAGTCCAGGTCAGCTTCTTGACCAAAGTCCATTCTTTGGGATCGGGCTGGCAGTGCTTCGGCCACGTACCCTACAAATTAAGAAGTTACCCTCCTGTCACCCGAACAAAATGCATTCAAAAATCATCATACTTAGATGCAAACAGAATGTTACAAAATAACAGAGTGCAGTCTGAAATTATTTTGCATCGAAAGAATAAATCATTTCTGGCAAAATGTATTGGCAGAACTTGTGTAACTAACTTATTTAGAAATTTGGGGAACCATTACATATGAACGGGAGAAAGGAAGGCAGGTACTTATGATAAGAGATTTGAAATCGCTACGCACAAAAAGGCCTTATGAGAATCATACCCAACTTGGCTCTCAAAATAAATCAAAAACAGTTCTAGTATCACCACGTGATAAAACGTTGAACTTTTTGTCTTCTGGAAAACCAACCGTGGAGCGAATCCTTACTGAATCCTGAAGTTGCGGCAACTGAATTTCTATACGCATTTTCAACAGGCAACAAGGATGACAAAGAGGTGAAATCCGTACAAACATAGTTGCAATTCTATTAAGGAATTAATTCATGTTTATGCCGAGTAAGGCACATTTTATATTAACCATCTGGAATTGCCTAATACTTAAGCTGTATTTGGTGGTGGTACACTTATGTCTTCCATGGATAATATTAAGTGTTTTTAGGTGATAGGCTTCCGTAACTGTCAATACCGCTACATTTGCTTTCGTAAAACTAAAAATTTTAAGCAATCATAAACGATTTTGGCGGTGGCGAAAAGACATGCAAGTTATGTCTGTAAGATTCACTTTTGAGATAGAAAGTTTATTTATTATCTTACTGTTAAGAAAAAGATTTTAAAACTAGATGTATGAACATTACGCGAATCATCTTCTCGATCGAAGACAGCTATCTGTAAATATATTTTGATTTCCCTCGTACAAATTAGAAATTTCCACACAAATGGCCTTCTTTGACAAAAAGTGCTTGCAAAGATCTAATAACTTTTTATGAGTCCGAATCATCTTGAAAATGAAAAATGAATCGTTAATGAGACGTAAAAACGATAAATGTAGGCTGTCTATTCATGACTGCGGACGTTCCTGTTTTTCCGTTAGCCTTACAAAACACGTACACTATGGTTGAGCAACGTTAACAAAGATGAATTTCACGCAGGAAAGGGGAATTTACCTGACATAAATGCTCCTGCTATTAGGACTGTGAAGATCGTAATGCTGTCCAGAGAAAATGCCATTACCTGAAATCCTGCAAAAGGACAAAAATATATTGCACGAGTTATGTAGGAAGTTTGAGTTTTAATTGTTCGAGTTAGTTTTTATTATTAGACGAGGCCGATTCTTAAATTTTAAATGTATCGAAGAGGTACTTTTAGCAAAAGTCTTAAGACTGCCGTTCTACGAACCGGTTCACGGAAAATTATCTGTAAATTTTACGTGGTAGCTTACGCTGAGATGAAGTCGAAGATTACAAATCTCAGGCTAACTAGTTCCAAAAATTTTCCACGACGTCGCTTTATACTTTTCGAAGAACCAATAAAATTTCGCAAACGTCAATCTCTGTGTTCAAAGTTCTATTGGTCTAAAGACTATGTTTGTCATCTTTCTTATCCATTGGACTTTCGTGAAAAAGAAAATTGTCAAGCTTATATTTACTTTTTTAAAGAAAGTTCATTTTGAATATACTAGTGACCATTGAAACTGCATGCTAAATTATTTAAATTTAACTGAGAAGCCGTTAAAGCATAAAAGTACATCCACGCAGTTTTACGGTACTTTGAAAGCACTTTGACTGACAGAAATATATTTACGGCCGTAATGAAGACACATGAATTTTTCCAGCTCTTTTATCGATAAATGATCACTAATGCCTTTAGACGTGTAGGTAGGCTTCTTATTTAAGTCCTGTTTTGAATGTGCCATCAATTTATAGACGTTGACTGCTGTATTCCTAAGTCATCCTTCTTGTTTTTGAGTTTCGGTAGCAGTAGTTTCCTTATGATGGTTAAGTCACCTCGCGAAAGTAGTTAAGTGTCAAGTTTCGGTTTAATTACTGAAAAAAATTCAATTAGGAAAGGCGGCCAAATTTATTTTTGGATAGATTCCTAGCAAAAGTGTGTATATACTGCGATAATAACGAAGGTTGCGAATAACACCAATCTAAGCATTAGTTTTGCTACCTATTTCCCTTCTAATTCTAAAAGATCTATGTCGTTTTCCTGGTAAGCTAAAAGAAGACGGACTATAGAACCTGGAAACGTAAAAAATGCTCATTTACCCATATAGAAAAATTAACATTTTTGCGCCAGACTGTATCTTTAATATTCCAGGTCCCCAGTTACATCCAATGGCAAGAGAAGATGCGTGGCTTCGAAGCAAAAACCAGACGTTCGGGCGGTTTTTCAACAAAACTAAACGACTGTAAACCTCTTATTTATGTCGATTTGTGAAACGTATAGTTGGTAGAGACCATAATTCGGACGGTCCAGCTTTAGGACGTTGATCTTGGTTCACGTGGATTGGACATGAATGTAAAGCCTTGCATTGTTCTATAACTTGAAAAGTGTGAAAAATTTTACTTTGAATATAAAAACAGTAGAAATCTTATCCTACACAAATTACAAACTTGCGTATCTGGCCCCAGTCTCAGAAATATTCGATCATCATTCACTAGCAGTGGGAGTTAGCAGTATAAAAGAGAATAAATTATAATTTTCTCTGTTTCCTTATTTACTCAGAAACTTTAATCCTATATTTTTAAATGGGCTAAAGTATCGAAAATAGAAACAACTCTATTCTTTCAAAATGGAATATTGTTAGTTTGTGTAACTCAAAAAATCGACCAATTTCAAGCAATCAAGTTGATTCTAAAAATATTTATTTTAGAGAAAAAGTAGTTTCTGTCGTGCAGCCAATGCGTAGTGTGACCGTAGCATAGGAAGTGTCATTTCAGCCTGATTTGTACGCAAATGGGAATACACCTGTCAAACTGAGATAGTAATCGAATTATTATTGTAAACAGGAACATTCTCAGCACACCCCCGGTTTGAGCTAAATCTTCCAATCAGAGAATTCACTATGTGAATTAGGCTATCCTTTCAAGTCACCCAAATAAATGCATGTAAGTAGTTCAGGCATGACCTAATTTCACAGACACTCTGTCCACACCTTAGTATTTCGTTTTTCTTTTTAGCATGTAAAACGACAACTGCCAACATGATCCTATGTACACATGATAAGATGATTTTGGTCGGGAAGGAATGTAATTTAGGGTTAAAACACCAGATAACTTTTGGGCATTAAAAACCTTTTGACTCAATAGTTGTTCTTAGACATATTCCCTTTTCTATACATCAGTAGCGACGCAAAAATCAAACGTAACATTCACAGAAAGTATAAAAAATGTCGCATAAATATTGCTTGTACAATTATCACGCGGTGAAATTGTAACTTTTGTACTGTCTCGCGACGGGCACATTCTCATCTCCCACAGACAATGTCATCATTCAGCCTACTCATGCAACTGAAACGTCTACTGAAGATCCGGCATTTATTTCTTTGGCGAACAGAACACAGTCCTGACGGGACTGCGACGTCTTGAGTTAGATTTATAAGTATTCACTTTCTATGTCTTATCCTTTATGCCAAAAGTAAATAGTTTTATCTATGGTAAAATCGATAGGCTTTACCACATATTTCAGATGGCGGCAAAACATTTATTATGACTGTTAAAGTTTATTTTAGTAAAAGGAAAGAAATGTAACTTTGCATCGGATGTTTTTTGCAGAGGACAATCAATAAACGCAATATTTTTGACAACATTGATGTCGAGCGCTGATAGATTGTTTAGTATGTCTCAATAACGCATTTTTAAGATAACTTAATCCGTTGACAAATAAATCGATGTCTTTACAAATACTGGATTTTAATAATCTTGGAAAGGTTACAGAAAACTTAAAAGGCCAAAATGAAACGGCTGATGAGAAGCGGCATATTTTATTGCCGACAACAGAATTTGGACTCTAACATGCGCCCACGTCTTTCGTTCCGCACTTACCACAGTGAATTTCCGAAACAATGCAATTACTATGCAGGGTAGTCAGCATTTGCATGGCTAACTGCGCCATTAGTATGGCTTCACGCAAACTATTTATCGATGGTAGCGTGCGTTCTGATTTGTATTGTCTAGTTTTCCCAAATTTATTAGGTTGACTGCGATGGGACACACTTAGGCAAGAAAAATACCCTCGTTTATCAGAGCATCCGATCAAGTAACGTAGGTAAATATATGTTGGTCTCGCGAATTCTCTGCCGTTGGGAGAGACTGAATGACCCAGTGAAGTACTCCTCATCATGAATCATTCAGTGCCATTTGTTCTTTTCTCCGGAGAACGGGCATCACGGGAAACCGAAAACTCGGGAGAGTGGAGGTTGCTTCCCAGCCTGTCTCCAAAAATTATGAATAGAGCGAAACTGCTTTAAGCAAGAATTAACTGCGAAATAAGCCGGGCTGATTCTGACGGATAAACAGTCATTACAGAGTTCGATAAAGATATTGTGACCCACCGATCACGAAAGCCACCAAATAATTACTCTCAAAGTTAACTTGCGGGCCGGACTTTCATCAAAAGGTCCATTATAAAGGCTTGACAACAGCAAACATTGCAAGAAATGAGCATTTTTAGACTGGACTCCATATGAAACAAAGATACTTTATCATCACACCCACGCCCCTTCTTTAACGCCATAAAGTATACTAAAGTAAGATTTGTAAAGACGTCGACAAGTTTCAACGGATTGGTTTATTGGAAGGTCTTAAAGGTTGTTCTGGGTGATGCAATGGAAAAATACACGCTCTTCATCTATTAAAGTCAGCCAAACTGTGATGATAACGTTTGTTTCAAGCAAGATTCAGCAGAAGAAACACTGCGTTCAACGCAGAAGCCTCATAGGCTTGGTCCCATTGCCGGTTCACATATCAAACACATGCCCATTAACCGTGCAACAAAATAGTTTTTTTTACTACAGGTATTTCATTATGGATACAGTCTAGATTAGGCAACGATGGTTTTTTATGTTTTGGACTACTGAGCAAAACAATACAGAATCATAAAACTTTCGCTTTCTGGCAGGTCCGAACTGCCGACGTCTAGAATTACAAATAAATGATTCACTGACAATTCAAAATTCAAAATTTCCTTATTTCTGGCCGGTAAGGCTAGCAACTGACGAGTTTACTGGAGGTCTGACGTTTCGAGTAGTCGTTTCGGTTACCCATCTTCAGAGACTGGGAAGTCATGCACACAGTTTCTCTTATATGACGCACTTTGTTCGTTGCCTGGCCCGCCACTGCCGCCTGTGTGTCTGCATCCGACCTACATGTCACCATGACCTGGATCCCGCCCGTCCTCGTTGGACGCGGCGATAGTCGACGACCCTGATTGTCCAGCGCCGTGACTGTCCCCCGTCAAGAATGTCCTTAAAACCAGATAGTGGGGAGGCAAATTGATGTGGCGGTTGGCTGAACAGTCGGTGGATATCCAGGCTTCGTGTACCTGACTTGTCGTATAATCATCGCCCTGGCCCACAATCTCGACCGCCTCAAAGTTAAAGATATGTCCCATTTGCGCGGCATGGATTGCTACCTCCCATTTTGGGTTCAACCTTCGCACGGGCAACGTATGCTCGTGCATTCGCGTTTGCAGCCGTCCGCCGATTCCCCCAACTAAGTTGCACATCCTGCAGCTGCACTCAAGTTGGTAGAAAACGGCCGACACCTCCTGCTTAGGGATCGGGTCTTTTGGCCGCATCACGTGCCGGCGTATTTTTGAGTCGGGTCTGTGGGCAACGCCTATTACGAACGGCGCGAGAGATCTAGCCACGACTTCGGAGATCCCTTTCACCTACGGAATGCTCCGCCATGATTTTGACTGACTATGCTCCTCATTCCGTCTCCTTGGCTGCCTTCGGCCCCGTTCAACGAATGCTCGCGGATAGCCGTTGGTTCTGAAGAATTCTTGGAGGAGCTTTATCTCGTCCAGTTGGGCGGCTGGCGTGCTGCAATGAGTTTTCACCCGTCGGTATAGCGTGCGTACACAACTTCGTCTGTGTTGTAGTGAGTGGTTGCTGCTGTAACTGAGTGTTTTCAGCGTGTTCGTCGGTTTTCTATACACTAACTTCACCAGTTTGCCATCTGGTCGGCGGCAAACGAGAACATCCAAGAATGGAAGTTTGCTTTCCACTTTATCTTTCATCGTGAACTGTAGATCTGGGATGATTGAGTTCAGGAGCTCCTCATAGTAGTTAATTTTATCTTGATCTATGATTACGAAGGTATCATCAACGTAGCGCGCCCAAAACTTGAGTTTGTACTCTTCGAACAGTCGTTTTTCGAGTTTTTGCATAACCGCCTCGGAAATGAGTCTAGAGATTGGGGATCCCATCGAAGTCCCCTTAATTTGCTCATATGTGGTCCCCCGAAGGTAACAATGTCTTGAGGCAGTGCCCCATGAGTTCTATGAGATCCTGAGCTGTGGCCTGGCCATCGCCCTCATCGTAATTTTGACGTAGCAGGTCACTGAGTGTCTGGACAGCAAAGGCCTGTGAGACGACATCAGATGACACCATCCTCTTATTTGGTTCGATCGTGACCACCTTATAAGGAGAGCTATGTGTATAACTTTCCGGTATCTGAGGATGGGTAGACGAAACGACTATTCGAAACGTCAGACCTCCAATACACCTCTACCGGTGAACGCCGCCTTTTCTTTTGATATGCAATCTGGGAATCGCATTTTCACTACTTTTGACTGAGGGGTTATTTATGTATGAGCATATGGGTGGTAACTGGCTCGAGGAAAGAAAGTAGGGCTTAATGTCTTCTTTTCAACGGAGTCCCTATGACACTATCACGGACGTAAGGTTCTAGCCACTCCCCTCTTTCCGTGCTAAACACTGTGTGGGAAGGGGTCCTGAGTGACGCGTATGCGTTCCGTGTAGCTTTGCTAGGCTCTGAGACTGAGCCAGCCTGCAGCCTTCAAGTGGCTGAGGAAGGAGAGGGTGCGATAAATGCTGCGCAAGTCTGCTATCAGTACAGACAAACTCACGCGTAAGTGGCCGTTCCGCACTCATCATGATGTAGGACATACAATGAACATCGTTGTTAACGGTGATCGAACTGTCAGTGTAGCTTTACCTACATTTCTTGCATTGTTTTAGGGCGAACGGAGTGTAGATAACAACTTAGATTAGAATGTTTATAGCCTGCAGTAAGGGAATATCGGAGTTTACAAAACCAGTCACCAGCCCAAGCTTCGAGAGGTCGTCAGCTCAGCTCGATTCCGGGGCCAGTTTTGTCTGGTTTTAGACATTCCCAATGTTATACAGCCGAAAATAGCAACAAAACCACTGGTAGTTAATCAGCATAATTTTTTGATTCATTTGTTTCACGAAACTGGGTGGTCCTATTAACTTTGCATCGTGGTAAACGTGGAACGGAAAATGCAAGGATATCGAAGGATAGTCACGTGTAGTATTTCATACAAGAAACGGCAGAAGAATTCTTTTTTAAGATTTCTACGATTATGCACAGTTATCTTGAAAACTGCGATTTCAGTGTGAGAAATCTGGCTTTTGCTTTCTAGTGATGGCATACAAAGCTGACGAAAAGTTTTTCTGTTATCCCGAAAACACCAGTGTTTGAATTTTGAACCTCGTTATACCCTATAAAGGGTCTTAAAAATTATAGTGGATTCTACTCAAATGCTTTGTAAGTAATCCCTGTTTGCATATAATATGAAATGGTAATGGAAGGAAACAATTTCTGGCTTGTATTTCGTGGGGCTATACCAAAATGACTGAAAGTTCTACAGTTTGATGATTTTCAACTACTGATGCAGTTTTTTATTGATAGAATTTGCATTGAATGACATTTTCTTGAAGGGCACCCTTATTACATTGGTTTGGAAATTTTCTAAACTTCAAAATTAATCGCAAGTTTGAGTTTCGACAAAACAGATGACGACAAATTAATGTCTACAGACGCGTGCGTCTGAAGATGTCGTTGAGCAAAAATCATTGTTAGTCCATTCTTGCCCAAGCTCAAACTATATAGGTCTCCTTCTTATTGGAATATACGAATTATCTGCATCGTATTCCACCATTTGTACAGATAAACCTAATTTAAAGAAAAAAGATAGTGAGGCTATGCAGTGTGCAGTGTTAGCTGAGACCGATGCCCTTTTGCTAGGGGAGTGGCTTTATGGGGAGAATGGAAGGTCAGAATGCGTCCATATTACTGCTAAACTGAAAATCTGGAAGTTTTAGTCAAAACCTTTTATGCCTTTTGAGAAAGAGCTCTAGGTTTTCCGAAACTTTTATGCGTAATTAGTTTAAATTTTAGCAGTATGCGTGCTGTCGGCTGATCTCATACGTATTTTATCTATGTGCATTTTTCACATGTTACTAGTTTCTGTCGCCATATTCTAGTTTTCGCGTATAGCCTGTTAAATTCCCATTTTCGGCTTTCTTATCCTATGTATAAGTTGAACATAACCAGAAGCACGAAGTCTGGAAATTGGTAAATTTCTGCTACCGCAATTTCTCAATGGGGCTTTTCATGTCTTTCTCGGACAAGTCAAATCTTTCTTGGAAGATTTACTTACAAATTAGTTCAATTGCATTATTTTCATGGTTTACTATTCCAGTATCCTTATTAAAACCACTTTAGGAGAACAACTCGTCAAAGGCATAGTTAGTTGCTCGATACCCAGTCCTTTTTATTTTGCCATTCAAGCCATTCTTTTAAAACAAGAAAGATATATGATTTTATCCCATTACGATCGCTTATGCTGAACTTCATGGGGGGCGGAAGCGGCGCCGATGAAGTTGAAGAATCCTCACAGAACAGCGAATACTTAATTTTAGGAAGCGATTTTGCTTTTTCCTGCAGGGTTGACTAACGTCTATTTACGGGAGTATTTATAAGCAAACAACGTTTATTGAGCCGCCAAAATTTACAAATGCTTAGGTAAATCACTCAGGAGAAAGTTGAATCCATATTTAAAAGGTGTATTGGAATATTTTAATATACGGCATGAAAAAAGTTAGTCTTATGCTTTACTTTTGGTAAAATGAAGAAAAACAAATGTTTTCAAGTCGAGCCACGCTTTGGCTGCGCTGTCAAATAAACAATTGGATTTGAAGACCTTCGATTTCGATAGTAACTGATTGATTTGCCGCGAGAGCTAGAATTTCGGAAGACATCATAAGACTTAACAGGCCTGATTTTTCATTTTGCTTTCTGCTTGTTTTATTCATTATCTGACGTGCGAAAATCCATCATTTTGGTCACAAACTTCTATAGGATCCACATAGGTCGACCTTGCTCCAGTATTTGAGGCTTATGGGATAAGGGTGTGCTAGTGTATATAGATGAAAATGTGAGCCTTTGGATATAGTTGAGAAGAAGCTTCAGTCCCTAGAACAAGAAATCCCTAATGTGGAGTTTTGGGCTCACACCGGAATCCCTCCCCATACAGAGTAACGTACGAATATCGTAATAAACTACGACATTACATTCGCATTCATTGCTGGCTTTCGTAACTGGGGCCATAGTGGCTTGATCAGCAACGCCTATGTCGTCAGCGACCGAGATATTATTGTTCAAATTATTCTGCTATTTGACTTCAAATACTTTCCCATCAAGTAATGCCCACTCACTCGCACTCCGCTCCAGTAATTGCTCCGACTTCATGAATTAATGCTAGCAACTTTTGCCTGCCTTTCGAGGAGGCAGAACATACCAAGCATTTATAACGAACTGTCAAAAACGTTTTTGTCATTTAGAGCATAATGGAGGCTGAGGTAAAGTACGACTACTTTTAAACGGGGTCACTTAAAAGATAATTCTGGCAGTGGCACCAGCGTCTTTAAGAGGAATGAGCGTTGTTTACCTAGAAGGTTTCATTCGTTCCCCTCTAACATCATCTGTGCCTATGATTACTGAGGTAGTTGGACAACTAGTCACACAGAAACCAGGTTTTGGAAATAGAGTGACTTATTATGCCGACATCGTAATCCTTTCCTAATAGATAGTTTCAGAAGATAATTTGGGCTTAAAAACAAATGCCTCTGCTAAGGCCAACACACGTCCTTCAATAACAAATGCTGTCCGAGATCGGCGTCGTAGCGTCGAAGTGCTAAATTAGATAAATCTAAAGGTTAACTTCTGGGAATAAGAAACGAATGATAGAGTATTGCAGACATCGGTGTCCAGCGGGACAGTAGGGGGAGGAGAGGGTTTGCATCCAATAGAGCTTTTCAATAATCGAGAAAGTGAAAATAAAGTGGAGAGAAATTTATCGGGAAAATAACAAAGAGAACACTATTGGAAACTTTTGAGAACGAGGCGCTTTTTGGCTAAGTAGACGTATTCTCGGTGTGAAGATCAAAAATAGCAACGTGCTCAGTGAGTCCACTTGGTTATCATTAAAAACACCGAAGAGGGCAAAATTCGATCCTGACGAGACCATTCTGTACATTGAACTTGCAGTCAACCTAAGGGATTATCTAAAGAACGCTGGGAGGAATTTTCTGACGATACTCTCAAGACTAAATGCTCTAT